GCTACCACCTGGGTGGCAGCAAATTAAAAGTTGGGTGAGCTATATAAATTTTGGAGGCGAGGCATTTTTGGCATCGCTCTGGGTTTAAGCCTGAGTTTGCTCTACATAATTTTTAAAGGAATTGCACAAAACCCCAAGGAAGCTTTGGCCCATACCATACACTGTGTCTACTGTGTCACTCATATTTTTTAAACATGTGGAAGGCTGCCATATACAATGGAAAGAAATGTTTTGGATAGTTTTAAGTAACAAGAATGTTTTTAAAAAGCTAGAATTTTTCTACACCTGATGGTTGCTTGGGATCCTAGGAAACCCTGTCATAATTGCTAATATCACATCCTCAGACTGCCCCCATTCACCTGGGACAGTCCTTATACAGTGGTGCCCCGCAAGACGAATGCCTCGCAAGACGGAAAACCCGCTAGACGAAAGGGTTTTCCGTTTCGGAGGCGCTTCGCAAGACGAATTTCCCTATGGGCTTGCTTCACAAGACGAAAATGTCTTGCGAGTCTTGCCATTTTTTCCCCGCTCCCCCCCCTTTTTTCTAAGCCGCTAAGCCGTTAATAGCCTTTTAGCAGCTTAGCCGCTAATCCTTTAATAGCCGCTAAGCCGCTAAACTGCTAATAGCGCTAATCCGCTTAGCCGCTAATGGGGTTGCTTCGCAAGACGAAAAAACCGCTAGACGAAGAGAATCGCGGAACGGATTCTTTTCGTCTTGCGAGGCACCACTGTATTTTGTTACATGGAACTGATAATTTGCTGTCCTTTCCCCTACCCCTGTTTTTCTCTTTCTGGGATGCCCTCTTAGCATTTTGTTGGTCTAAGTCTGGTCCTTTATGGACCAGAGAGCACCTTCGGAATTTTGAGAAAACGCCCCAGATGTCAGTCACAAAATGGCTCCCGGGAGGGGCGTATTCAATAAGTTAGTGCAAACAGGAGGCAGGCAGGAAAAGCAAACAGTCACTCACGAATTGTGGGGTTTTGAGGCTATATTTGCTGAGACCTTTCCCGGGCACCTGGGGGCACTGTGTCAGCAACTTCAGCAGCTAGACTGGTGACTGGAAGCAGCCGCCGAGACCACATAACACCAGTCTTGAAAGACCTACATTGGCTCCCAGTACGTTTCCGAGCACAATTCAAAGTGTTGGTGCTGACCTTGAAAGTCCTAAATGGCCTCGGTTCAGTATAACTGAAGGAGCGTCTCCACCCCCATGTTTCTGCCCGGACACTGAGGTCCAGCGCAGAGGGCCTTCTGGTGATTCCCTCACTGCGAGAAGCCAAGTTACAGGGAACCAGGCAGAGGGCCTTCTTGGTAGTGGCACCCGCCCTGTGGAACACCCTCCCACCAGATGTCAAAGAGAACAACAACTACCAGACTTTTAGAAGACATCTGAAGGCAGCCCTGTTTAGGGAAGCTATTAATGTTTGATGCATTACGGTATTTTAATATTTTGTTGGAAGCCGGGGCAGGGTATAAATAAATAATAAATAATAACAACAACAGCAATTCTGGTTTAGTCTAGCCTTCTGTCACCACAATGGCCAACCAGGTGCCCACGGGAAGCCCACAAGCAAGGTGTGAGCACAATATAGCCCTCTCCCACTGTAATTCCCCAGCAACGGGTATTCCGAGACATACTGCTCTGATTGTGGAGGTCAGACATAAGTTGTAATGTACATAAATGTATCTTCGTATACTTTTCTAATGCACTTTGTTTTGTGGTAGTGAATCCCCTGGATTAACTATGTGCTGTGTGAAGACTTACTTCCTTTGTCCTCCTGATTCAACGGTTCAACCACATTGCACAGCCCTCAGTTCTGGTATTCTAAACACCAGGGGTACCAGCCTGCTATTTCACCTGTTGCAACTGGCAACGCTGATGGTATATCATAGGACAGGGGTGGCTAACCTATGGTCCAACTCCCATCAGTTCCAGACAGCAAGGCTAATCGTCAAGGATGATGTGAGTTCTACTCCAGCAGCAGATATAGAGGTTAGCTACCGTAGGACAATTATGTTTTTCTGCTATATTTGTAACCCAAGTGTTAAATTGTGGGTGAACATATCAGACGACACAGCGATTCTTCAAACAGCTCTTGTTTATTCACAGGCCAGAACAGAACTGAACTGAAGGGTTCAGCCAGCCTGCTTATATAGAGCTCCAGTACAATGCAACTGTAACAACTTTCTGTAACTATCCAATCACTGAATGTCACTTTCAATCCCTTATTTGCATATGTGGACCTGAGTGAAAACTATCTACAGTATCCCCTTGCTGGCCCAGGGTGAGAACTTCAGTACATAACACCAAGGAACTAATATGTCCCAAATTTTCAACATAGGTTCAAGTATGGCTTGCAATTTGTCCCCCCTCCCATTTCACGGGTTCCCTCTCAGCAGTTTCCATATCTAATTTCCTAATGAATCTGGGGGGAAAATGTGTTATATGGGGCAGGATTCTGTACTCTGAGTATCTCTGCTTTATTTCTACCCACAGAGCAAGAACATAGTCTAGAATGGTGTTCTTTAACCTTGCTGAAGTGTTGATGCGGCAGATCTAGTTATCTGAGCTTCCAGTGTCTACACACAGGCTTACTCCTTCAAACAAAGAGCTTCCCTATAACTAACAAGAACACTCATTTTCCTGAGATAAATGGAAAAATAAATATGCGAGCATAGTTGCACATAAGGGAAAAATAGCAAACAGCATATCCAGGGAGACTGACTCAGATCCTGTATTTGATGTAATGTTCCTTATGGAGGAGATTTCGGCAAAATGGACAAGTAGTGACTGGGGAGTAGCCCATTTCATGCTTTACAAGCTGTAGATCCCTGTGTTAACAAATTATTTCAACAAGCTGTGTAAATTAATGAGGTACCAGCTGATGTCAGGGCTCAGTGATGTGTGTGTGTGTTTAAAACTTTAGATTTATTAGAAGATATTGGCAGATGCATGAAATCGACTTTCCCAAAACCAGAACACAATTTTCAGCGCTAGCTAACTGAGCTTATTCATTGTTAAGCTATGGCTGGTGTGAATTACTGGGTGCTTCTTAAGGTTCCAACGAATATGACGAGCTCACTGCTGTGCAAAAATGTGGAGTATGCAATTGGACAATGTCTTGATTTATAGACATCCACGGGAGGAACCCCTGGAGCACCTGAATGCAATCTTTCATCGGCTCAAGGAAATGGCTGAATTTGATTTTTTTTGCTCCTCAAAGTGCTTCACGGAGACAGCAGGAAACCAGATATGGATTTGGGATATGTTGTAGGCCCGACAGTGTAGGGTAAACGAATTAGGAAACCAGAGATACATCAAGGTGGAAGCTATGGAAATCTGCTAATAACTAGCCATTAAGTGGCAGGCGAGATGTTTTTAGGGCACTGGGAGAAAACGCACGCCATATTTTACATACTCCACTTGCTCCATTAGCACATCTCACTAGGGAGCTTCTATAAAACAAGCTTTTGCCCACTAAACTAGAGCTTTGCTCCACTGTGCCTCAAAACAATCTGTTGGTGGTCAAAGGACCAGATCAAGGCGTGGTGTAACACGAAATGGCTGCTACAGGGACATGCCTGCCACATCTGAAAGAGCAGAAATTGTGTGGACGTAGGCCTTCATCAGCTACCCCATCGAGGGCACCTCCATTAAACACTGCTACACTCAGCCTCTAATGGAATATGGGGGTGTTTAATGGGTCTTGTTTAGTGTATAGACAGTCTCCTGTGCATTTTTTGGATTTTGAGGGAATATTTGCTGGGCAGCACAGAAAGTACTGGTAGGAACACTGGCACAACACCGCTTTGTGTGGGGACATTCTAATATCCTCAGAAATCTAGCTTTGGCTAGAAAAATGTCCCTGCTATGTTTTTCAGATGAATGGGTTAGGGCTAATGTCCTTGCAGCAATTCAGACTATGGAGCCACTCCCCACCAAGACATTAGGTATTATTATTATTATTATTATTATTATTATAGCATTGTTCTAAGGCAGTAACCTGGAATTACTTAGGCCGTCTTTCCATGCTGAACAGATTTTAAGATCCTTCTACAAGCTAAGGCACAGCATGATGTGACCCTACTTCCAGCACGGAAGATGTGGTAACGCAAACTTGACAAGTGAAATTAATTATTGCATTCCATTAATTTTGAGTCATACACCCAGCCCATTAAAGCTGGGAGAACTTTGTGGAAAACAAACTAGCCACACCACAGTGAAATGTTTATTTTGGCCTCTGCGTGCCCCATCCTGCTGAGGTCCTCTTGGACAGATCAACTCCATCGTGGTTTGCGCTTGCTGCTAGCACCAGGAGAACATCTGCTGTCTTCCGAAAAAGAGGGGGAGAGGGAAAGACTGCAACTCTACATCTGGGGCTGCTCTATAGGGCCTCCTTAGCGACTTGAGATGATGGCAGTATCAGTGTCTCAGGCTCAGTTAGACGTATGTATGCGACAGGTGTTGTTTTCAGCCATCCTGGTTCATAAAGCTTGAGGTGATTAAAGGGTTCTGTGCAGCCGGGGCAATTCTTAATAAATCTTTCTTTTTTTTTTTAGATATTTATTAAGATTTTCAAAATATTACAAAAAGAAAAAAGAAAAATACAAAATAAAAATAGTTAAAAACAATTCAATCTTTCCATTACTTATCTTTCATTTGCTTGTTTCCTGGACCTCCCTTTTTTGTATTCCAATTCAATTTGTTAGTTCAGCAAATCCTTTCCCTCTTTGTTTATCCTAGTCTTTAATCATAAAGTATTATAACATTAAATTTTTACCTGTTAATAATCCATTTTTTCATATTCCTTTATAGCATTACAGCTAAAAACCGCTTAACTTCTATCCAACATCATTCTAACATTCATTAATTTTGCAATATTTCTGTAAGTAATCTTTAAACTTTTTCCAGTCTTCTTCCACCGACTCTTCTCCCTGGTCTCGAATTCTGCCAGTCATTTCCGCCAGTTCCATATAGTCCATCACCTTCATCTGCCATTCTTCCATGGTGGGTAGATCTTGTGTCTTCCAATTCTTAATAAATCTAAATGGTAGAGGATGAGAACATTATATTGAGCACCCTTTCAGAAGTGACGATGTGCAGGATTTATTCTATCCATAATTATCGGAGATCATCTGGACCCCTTTCAATCTGGCTTCTGATCATATCCACACTATGCATTTAAAGCATTCATATATCACTTTAACAGTCACGACTTCCTGGAAAAAATAAATAAATCCCAGGAACGGTAGTTTGTTAAAGGCGCTGAGAATTATTGGATCCCAGAGAAGGAAATTCAAATTGAAACAAGCAACTATAACTATAGCTATAACTCCGTTACTTTCATCATGGAACTATAGTTGGCATACGTGGAATCTCCTCACCCGGGCACGGACCAGACCCAGGCTGCTTCACCTTCCTCAAGATTTCTGCACACTTGACAGTTCTTCATATCAGACATGAAACGCAGGTGGGGGGGGAGGAGAGACTGCCTCCCTCCGCCCTCTTGGAATGGCACCTCTGACTTTAAACAGAGCATACACATGTGAAGAAGTGTTATCAATACAGAAGGTGTTTCTTCATGGTCTCCAGCCCTCTTTGCAGTCTGCCTCTCCACTTATCTGAAGTGCCACGCTTCCTTTTCAAGAAAGAGAAAGAGAATTTGGCTGGTGCTATCATTTAAAGAGGCCACCCAAGAGAATTTGCTTTTGACCCTCTTCGCTCTTGACAAAGTCAACAATATTTCGTTTCCCCACCACCTCCTATGCAATCCATTCCCATCCCTTCCTAGGCTCCCCATTACCTGATAACAAATCAAACCGCAGCAAAGTGTCGGCCTTGATATTTGCGTAGGTTATCAAAAGTCTCCTTGGCACAGGAACCCATTTGACATAGCCAGCTCCCCCCGAACCTTGGTCATACACAGAACTCTCTCCTTGTTTATCTCACGGGTGGGAGGATGCTGGGGAAATGGGATGGAAGAGCAGTGTCAAGAGATAAGCTGAGCACACACACATGCACACACAGGGGATTTGTGAGCCAGCCATTAAGGTTAAATTAGGGGGAGGATTTGTCTGAAAGTGAATTTAGTCTCTGGGAAAGACAGCTGAGTGATAAATGGTCATGTTTATCACAGGCAGCTCCCCGGACCCCAGGCCTCAACTATGACCTCTGGTGGGAATTAATTTAGCCTAGGCTTGCAGGACGCTGAGATGTCAGGCAAGAAATCAATATTAACCAAGGTCATTTGCCGTTAGTAGTGGAAGAGGCAATGCCGTTCCGAAAAGGGCCAAGCAAGAAGTCTTCCCCCAAGCAGAGACTGAAGAGGACACACTGGGGGAAGCCTGAGTAGAAAGGTTCAGAATAAATACCAGGACATGGAATGGTTCTTTATTTTTTTAAGTAAATAGACACAGAATATGAAAGGGATAGGAGAAGAACAAGTAAGGCAGAAGAAGAGAAAATGCTACCTGAAAATATGGGTGCTATTTAAAGCTTGCTGCTCAAGATCACACATTGCAATCAATAAAACATTTAAAAACCATTGTCTGTATTTCTTTAGACACAGTCCAGTTACTGCAGAATGACACTAGGTAAAGGTAAAGGGACCCCTGACCATTAGGTCCAGTCATGACTGACTCTGGGGTTGCGGCACTCATCTCGCTTTATTGGCTGAGGGAGCCGGCATACAGCTTCCGGGTCATGTGGCCAGCATGACTAAGCCGCTTCTGGTGAACCAGAGCAGCATACGGAAACGCCATTTACCTTCCCGCCAGAGCAGTACCTATTTATCTACTTGCACTTTGACGTGCTTTCAAACTGCTAGGTTGGCAGGAGCAGGGACCGAGCAACGGGAGCTCACCCCGTCGCAGGGATTTGAACTGCCAACCTTCTGATTGGCAAGTCCTAGGCTCTGTGGTTTAACCCAGAGCGCCACCCGCGTCCCTGCAGAATGACACTAGTCCTGGCCCAAATAGGAGATGAGGGGACCAGTTTGGCGAAGAGCTAGTTAGTTTTACTGGAGAATGTTATGTAGTGTAGTTTCACCCTGGGCCAACAGGGGGATACTGTATATAGTTTTCACTCAGGTCTGTAGATAGTTTTCACTCAGGTCCGCGTCAGTTATTTTAGGCGGGAACTCTGGGCTGTTGTGGTTACAATGTTGACAGCCGGCTGCCTATAAATACAGGCCGGCTGAGCTGTTCGCAGTCAGTTCTATTCCAGCTTACCATAATAAAGAGCTACTTGAAGAAATCGCTGTGCCGGCTGCTATGTCAACCCACGACTTAACACTGGCGACGAAGGTGGGATGGATGGACATCAGAGCACAGCCAGATGCGGCCAGCCTCTGAACTGAGCTGAATCACTGAGCTGAATCACAGAGCGAAATCACTGAGCGAAATCACTGGGCAGAACCAATTCAGAGCTGACTGTTCTGGCTAGAGCACTGTGTTCCATCCATCGCCCTTCACGCCGGCATCGGAATCATGGCTTCACTTGTGCCTCTACCGCCGTTTGCGCCAGCCTCTGAATCATGGGACTCCTACCTCGCTCGGTTCGACTGCTACCTCCAAGCCAACGAGCTGACAGCAGTATCAAAGGATCGGAAGCGGGGCCTATTCCTCAGCCTCTGTGGGCCTGAGGTGTTTGAGACGGCCCGAGCGTTGGTTGCGCCTGAAGCAGTCCAGGCAACACCATGGGACACGATCCAAGAGAAGCTCCGCAACCACTACGCACCAAAGCCGTCCAAGATTGCTGCCCGCCATGCGTTCTACCACCGGAACCAGGCAGAGGGGGAGTCAATCAACAACTACACCACCGCCCTGCGACAGGCTGCAATGCACTGTGAGTTCCGAGACTTAGACGATGCCCTGATGGATCGAATCGTCTGCGGGGTCCGGGACATCCATCTGCAACGGCGTCTCCTAGCCAAGCCAGACCTCACGCTACAGAAAGCCATTGAGGAGGCTGTGGCCTCAGAAGCTGCTGAACGCTCCGCCCAGGAGATCCGCAAGTCCAGCAGCCCGCGTCTTGCTAGGGAGCCAGTTCCGGTGCATCATGAAGAGGCCAGCAGTGAGGAGGCATCCTCCAGTGAAGACGATGACGTGCACCAGACAAAGCGGGAGCGCAGGAAGTTCCAACAGAAGTCCAAGGGCCAACCGGAATGTGCTGGCTGCGGAGGCAACCATTCCCGTGCCAAGTGTCGATTCAGAGACGCCATCTGTAGGAAGTGTTCCAGAAGGGGCCACATCGCTAAGGTCTGCCGATCGGCTCCGTCTGACACCCCCCCTTCATCGACTCGCAAGTCCAAGTCTTCACTCCAGTCTGCCAAGGAAAGTTGTTTCGCTCTCACCAACTGCCGCTGCCCGTCTGGAACCACGATTGGCCAAACCGACTCGCCTACGCGACGCAAGCTGAACGTCACGGTGCTCATTGAAGGAGCTCCATGTGACATGGAGATCGACACCGGGTCTGCCCTGTCCATCGTGTCATGGAGCACCATCAAAAGACTGGTACCCAGAGTGTCCAAAAGGCAACTCGACTCTCACCGCGTACACCTGAGAGACTACCAGGGAAACGACATTCCCGTGGTAGGCGTTGGCCGGTTCCGGATCGCCTTCAAGGATTTTTCGGGCCTGCTCCGGTTGGTGGTGGTCGAAGGTCAGCGGCCAAGCCTCCTAGGGCTAGACTGGTTTGATGCCCTCGGCCTGGAAGTCACCGGCATCAACTGCATCTCTAACGCAGAGACTGAGGGTCTGGTCAAAGACTTTGCCGTGGCTGAACCCCCAGGCTGTGCCAACGCACCACGGTCATTTGTCCCAGGAAACCAGGTCTTTGCCCGGAACTATGTGGGGGACATCCCTTGGGTGCCAGCCACAGTAGTGGGAGTCACTGGACCTCGCTCGTACCAGGTGGCACTCGAAGACGGACGCTTGTGGCGACGGCACATAGACCAGCTTAGGCGCAGGGTTGGGGACTTGGACACTACCGAGGTGCCCCCAACTGCGCTTGCGGCTCCAGAAGAGACACGTACAGATGGCGAGGCCCCACCTACACCTCCCTCGCAAACTGCCAGCGTGGAGCCGAACCAAGCCGTTTCAGAACAGACTCAGACCACTCCACTTGTGGAGGCTCCACTCACAGCAGCGGATCCAGGGGAGTTGGTTCCAACGCCACCTAGGGTCGCACCACAGCCTCAGCGAGAACTGTGTGGCCCTCCGGACTTGGCTACCAGTCCCCGGCGGTCTGGCAGAGTTTCCAAGCGCCCAACTCATTTAAAGGACTATGTTGTTGGACAGGTATCACTGTTGGTCTAAGTATGGGAAATGTAACCGATATGCTTTTGTGCCTAATTGAACCATTACGCGTAGTGCTGTATATAAGGAAACCATTACGATTGTAACTAACGCCTTATCTCGGTGGGGAGGGGTGTTATGTAGTGTAGTTTCACCCTGGGCCAACAGGGGGATACTGTATATAGTTTTCACTCAGGTCTGTAGATAGTTTTCACTCAGGTCCGCGTCAGTTATTTTAGGCGGGAACTCTGGGCTGTTGTGGTTACAATGTTGACAGCCGGCTGCCTATAAATACAGGCCGGCTGAGCTGTTCGCAGTCAGTTCTATTCCAGCTTACCATAATAAAGAGCTACTTGAAGAAATCGCTGTGCCGGCTGCTATGTCAACCCACGACTTAACAGAGAACATTCTGAAAAGTAAGCTTGGGTTCAGGTTTAAGGTAGAGCCGGTCCTACCATTAAGTGACCATACAGTTGCTGGCTCAGACAACTGATTTTGGGTGTCATGAATAGGCAGCAAACCGATATTTCTTATTATGCCAAAGAGTAAATCGTTTTTATAAGTGAGCAAACAAACAAATGTTGCAATCTTTTATATTGCAGTTCTTGGAGTAACAACCTTTTAGGCTGAACTCAAATGACCGTGTGCTTGTAGAAGAATCACAGTAGGCATATGATTTATTGTGGCTTCATATTTATGAAGCATATCATTTCATTGTGTTTAAGCAGGAAAGTTCTTATCACAAGCGATAATGCAAGGGTATAGCTTTGACAACTCTGTCAACACGACCCCTCATGCGAAAGTTATCAAGTTCAGGGGGAGAGGAGGGGCAGAATATATTAATTCACCAATGGAGAATTATGTATATGCAAGAGGGGTGTTTGCTGGACTTTGTGCATCTAGCTTGGAAACACAGCTAACAAAGGCCAGATGGGGTGAAGTGACTTTTCATTCTTTTCAGCACAATGGAAACATTCAAGAGGACTCGTTGTCAGAGACTGATGTCTTGTACACACAACACTGTGATGGAAACCATATTTCGGGAACTTTCCCCCTTTTTGAATACTAAATGGAACCAAAAGTTTTCCAAGACCATTAAGGCCAGACTAGACATGACATTTGCTATGTGGTTAGCCTTATGCTATATGCTTGCATGTATCATATGTAAGCTAGGCATCTAAAGTGATTTCACATTGCATGACTTCGCTGCACATCAACTGCCCTCTTATACCCTCCAAGACATCAAAGGCAAAACCTGGGATGGCATCTTCCCGTTTTTGCCTCAGGAGAGGATGGTGGCCATTTTGTGCGCTGTGACGCTGCATGATTTTGCGCCACAACCCCCCCCCCCAAGTGCTTTTTAAAGCACGGCACCCAAACTGCGCATTTTGGGGCACTGCGTGAGACCACAGTCCCAGAAAAGCACAATTTTCAATGGGAAATCACAGTGCAGAATCACACAAGATCATGACACCCAAAATGGCTGCCATCCTCTCATGAGAGAAAATGGGATGTCCCGGTTTTTCTGGAACACTTGCAGGGTATGCCCTCTGTCTCTTGAGGTAAAACTTGATGCTACAAAGAGACAGATATTTGGTGTTTGGAGACACTTCTGATAGTGAGAAAATCCTCTGCACCCAATCTTATACATATCTCCTTCCAATGATGCCTTCCTAGTTGCCCTTCAGGGCCAGCCTAAGACATTTTGTTGCTTTAAGGGGAAGGACAAGATGGCGTCCCCTTCAATTAATGAAACTGGCAGTTCAATCTTACTTAATTGCTGGCAACGGAATAGCATTCTTCACTGCGCCTGAGGCCACCAGACTAACTTAGGGAATGCAAGGCAAGCTCCGTACCCTGCCAGCATTTATGAGTAGTAAACTAAGAATGACTGTGGCCTTAATGTTTCTCGAAAACAGCCATAATGCTAAACTATTATGTTAAGGAATGGCTCTTGTATGTGCCTCTGTGTGTGTCTGTACTAGTTTCTGGTTCTGACAGCA